GGACACATTAGCAAAACATGAACTCTGTAAGAGCCCACAACCATATTCCTACCTTGTAGTTAGCCACTGATATTTAAACTAATTGATCGAAAGAAGATTTTCAACATTTTGGCAAAGATCAAGGCATATTTATGTACATAAAATGGATGAGTAACCATGTAGAAGTTGACCCAAACTGAAGAATTATTAATTCTGTAATTTAAAGTTTGAAGACAGTGCCAGTAGAAACTTGAGCTGAGAAGGAACACTCAGCTGGAGCAACCTTGTGTTGACTGTTTTCCCTGTCCCAGCCTCAATGCTTTAAATGTCAGTCTGGCAAGCAACTGAACCTTTTCTTGCACACGGGAAGAACGCTTCAATAGCACCAGCACATTCTAGCTAGACATTCACTCCGACTCAAGATGCTGCTCTCAAGACAACTATTTCGCCTTTGAAATATTTAGACTTAAACTTCTAAACAAAATTCTTAATTTACTAGCCTGTCTGGGAGACTCTTTGGCCTCCTTAGGAGCTGAGCAAATAAAACCAAAACAAAAGTAAATACTTCTAAATTGTCTTATAAAAATAATCTAAAATAAGGCAATCACACATTTTATTTAGTTTTTATATGCAAAGGAACTTCTCCCCCATTAACATCTGCTATGAAAAGCAAAAGTAAAAAATTGACAATTTGACAACTTTCATTTTACTACAACAATATCCCCTTGGCACACCCACGGCTGTTCTAAACTCACTTTGTTTCCTTTTTCCAGCTGTCAAAGTGACATTAAAGGAACAATGCTTTAATTAAATATCTGGAATGTTTATGGTTCCTTATGCTTACCCCACAACAGAATTATGTATTTTAGAAGAGTAAATTACCTGTGGTCATTTGTCAAATTTAATATTACTTTAAATTTCTATAGACATTAGTGAGTTAAAATGGTGTTAGATAGTAATTCATTAAAAAGTGTTTTTTAAGGAGCTAAAATTCAGACCACAAATGTAATAGACACTGCACATGTATGCAAATCTAGGATAGAAATTAAATACAGGGGCTGGAGAGGTGGTTCAGAGGTTAAGAGCACTGACTGCTCTTCCAGAGGTCCTGAGTTCAATTCCCAGCAACCACATGGTGGCTCACAACCATCTACAATTCAATCTGGCATGTAGGCAGAACACTGTATATGTAATAAATAAATAAATAAATAAATCTTTAAAAAAGAAATTAAATACAGCTTACTTTTGTTTATGAGCATTTTAGTGTTCTGATTTAATATGTGAGATGAAACACAGGCCATTTTACTCAATGACTTCAGGTAATTTTTAAAGAGGACTCTTGAAGCAATTTTGAAGAAAAGTGATAGTGCATTCCAGCTGTGAGGCACTGAAGAGACAATATGTCCTGTTTGCAAAATAACATAGGATTAAAACATTCCTAAAGGACTCAAGGGGGAATGTTTGGCTCAAGGGGAAACAGAACTGACTACATGGATGGACTCGGGGCAAGTGGGGATGGGAACAAGAGGGATCAGATGTGGGGGAGAAGAGGCAACTGGAAAAGGAGGTCATTTGGGGGGTGAGGTAGAAACCCAGTGCAATCAATATAAACTTCCCAGAGTCTACAAAGGTGACTTTAGCTAAGACTCCCAGCAACAGGAGACATGTCATCTGAACTGGCCATCTCCTGTAACCAGGCAAGACTTCCAGTGAAGGGATTGGGACACTCACCCAGACACATAAACTTCAACCGACAATTTGTCCTGCCTACAAGATGTGCTGGGGTAAAGGTGACATAGAAATTCTGGGAGGGGTCAAACAATGACTAGTCCAGCCTGAGACCGGTGCCAAGAGAGTGAGCCCACCTGTGATGCTGCCTGGAGCACCAGGATCCAGAGGATGGATAGCCCAAAGACCTAGGATAGAACCAAACATGACTGGAAGCAACAAAAGCAAAACCAAAAAGGTCAACAACATGATGCCTGACAATATTCTGTTGTACTCTTATATCAGTGCCTGGCACAACTGTTATCAGAGAGGCTTCACCCGGCAACTGATGGAAATAGATACAGAGACCTTCAGCCAAACATTAGACCAACTTGGGGAATCCTGAGGAAGAGGTGGAGGAGCCAGGGAGTCAAGGACACCATAAGAAAACCCACAGAACCAACTAACCTGGACTCATAGAAGTTCTCAGAGAGGGAATCAACATCCAGGAAGCATGCAGGACTGACCTAGGCCCTCTGCATATATGTGACAGTTGTGTAGCTTGGTCTTCAAGTGGGACTCCTAACAGTGGGGACAGGGGCTGTCTATGAGTCTGTTGCCTGCTTTTGGGACCCTTTCCTCCTCCTACCAGGTTGCCTAGTCTATTCTTAACAGGAGAGGAGGTGCCTATTCACATTGCAGGTTAATATACCATGGGAGGTAGGCCATTTTCTGAATAGAAAGAGTAGATGGGGGGAGGGGCAAGCAGAGGCAAAGGTGAGGGGTAGTTGGAGAGGAGGGAGAGGAGAGGAGGGAGGGGAAGTTGCAGTTGGGATGTAAAAAAATAAACCATTAAAAAACAATAAAACACTGCCAAACTGATCTTGGATATTTTCACTGTATCTATTGTTTTACCTCATTGTGTGCCTTAAAGTCAGATTTTTAATTTTGGTAGTGTTTAGACTTAAACAAAAAGTTTAAGTTACTAGCTTGCTTAGGAAATTCTTGGATAGTCACCAGATGTGACTGAACAGAAAAAGGACTAGATTCGGTGGTAAGCAAGAGGCCTAGAAGCAGGAGAGTCTGAGCCTGGCAGCCAAAACATGTAAATGAGGGAGAGATTACATCTCTGTTCACAGCATAGGATTGGAAGGAAAATTTAACATCTCTGTTTTCTTGAAAGCTACACAGTAAGAGCAGCTCAGGATGGGGGTGGGGGGTTGGGGGTTACAGTGGTGGCAGTGAAACTGGACTTCACCCTGGCTTTGGCAAGTAGGAAATTAACCATTCCTTTTCTATTGCCCCTCAAAGTCAGCACAGATAACAGTTATTGCTATTAACTAACTGCTCATAACACAACAGGGTGGCGAGCCCAGACAGTACAAATGCACATGAACACACAAATACAGCCTGACTTCAAACTAGGAAAGCAGAGTGAGAAAGCTGTGTGATTCATAAACTAGTTTATTCTTTGAACAGTGGTCCAGAGTAAGACAGAGGGAAGACTAATAACAGCCACAACAACAGTGGCAGAATGACACTCTACAATCTGGAGACAGGACTGTAAAATCACAAGTCTTCCCCAAAGCAGACAATCCTGAGTTGGGAGTTCCTGGGGGCACTTGCTTGGTTTAAAGTGAGTAGAACCAGAAATCAAAATACCATGAGGGATCAAAGAGCGATGCAGTCAGGGAGGAAATGAGGCCACTCGATTGCAGACTCAGTACTTCCAATCATGAAATGTTAGCCATGGCTGACACCTCTGTATTTGGGTGACTACCTGGACCATAAGCTTCGTTATAGGAACTGCCGCTCATAATTTGGGGAAGAACATTTAGAACCATCACTAGAAAACTGAATGTTTATCCATATTAGATAATATAGAAGCAGAACTAGACAGTTTTGAAGACTTATCAAGGTAATTATATTATTATTATTATTTTAACAGTAATTGAATACGAAAAGCATCAAGGCTTTGTGCTTTTCTTGACTGTTTTTTATTTTTTAACGCAGGGCAGGAAGACTTGGAATTTGCTATGTAGTTTGTTAGTCTTCAACTCCTAATCCTTCTGCCTCCATCATCTGAGTGCTGGGCTGACAGGTGTGCACACTATGCCTTGCTAAGGAAATTTAGAACAGAAGAGACCTTAAGAGCAGAGAGAAGGGTTGAGTTGCTGAAAAGCGCCTTCGTACCACACAGCTAGTTGTTTCTCTGCTGTACCCTGCTGAGAAGGGGTGATGGATGAGATATTTACGGCTGGGGAAACACTAAGGCAGATGTGGCAAGTGTTTTTCCGTTTTACTCGGCAGTTTGTTTGTTTTAAACCCCAGGAAATGAGAGGTAAAGGAACACCTCCACCCAGGAGCCTCCCCAGAGGCAGCTACGAGGTGAATAATTTGGGGGCTGAAGCGTCTTCTAGAGGTGACACAAATGGCTCAAGGGTTATGATATGGGAGTGGGGAGATTTTTGTCTCCCTCACTGTTACTTTCTCTTACTGGAATTAAACTAAACGTGATCAGCTTCCTGCACAGGACTGTAGGGGGCAGGAGGGATGTGTGGCTTGTGGGATATTGACCCTCAATGATGGGATAGCAAGCAAGGAGCCAATATTCAGGGAGACAAGAAAGCCCTGGGGACGGTTGACTGGAGTCTGGAGACCACAGCTGGCTGGCTGTTGAGACAGAGAACTGAGAAAATGGGATGCTAGATGAAGAGGAGTGGAGGACCCAGAAATGGACCTTGGCTAAGAACCCCACCTCAGTCGCAGATGTGCAAAGGCCAAGGCTGCAGCCTTTGGGGTTAGTGCCTGAGCTTCTCCCCCTCTGTGGCATCAGTGAATCAAAGGACTCCGGAAACACTTCAGAATGCCTAATTTTGTCCCAGGTACTCCCAGGGTCTGATGCCAAGGACCCACTGGCAGTGTGTGCAGAGAGCTCTAGGTAGGGAGAGAAGAATGTCTGGGAAGCAGGGGACGAGGTCAAAGTTCCCCTTAACTTTATCTAAAAGCAGCATAACTTCCAGATGGGTGCCCTGTATACGCACAAGCTTCAGGTTACAGTTTAGACTCACTTGGGGGGGGGGGAGAAAATTTTGCTGGCTTGTTTCTTGAACATTAAAATTTGGAGTAAGCTGCAAAGAAACCCACCCCATCCCTCATCTTCTCTGTGGATGATAACTAGTTAGTTCTAGGGAGTGCAATAACAGACAATGTGCTGGAGCCCCTCAGTTCCATTGCAATCAAGTGGCCTCCCGCAGCTGCCACCCCGCCGACCCGCGATCTTCCTAGGTTAGAGGACATCTGCTGGGACTCACCGGCAGGGTGTCCAGCTCCAGGCTTTTCTCAGTCTCCTTGTAGCTGCTCCTCATCCACCTTCAGCGCTAGCAAGGCGGAGCTGTGAGCTGTGTGCAGTGCTGTCGGGTCTCTGTCACTCACTACTGCCTGGGATCCAGGCTGTCTGCAGCTGGAATCCAAGCCCAGGCAGCTCAAATTTATAGAGCAAAGGGGCGTTGCCGCTCCCTGGGTTCAGAGGCTGGGTTTGTCTTCCCTCTTAGCCCACCCCTAGTAAATGTCCTCCTGGCTCCTCCCTTGGTAGATTCTGACCAAGGAAAGGAAGATGCCACTGTCCCTCAGTGTCACCCAGAAGATGCAGGCTCACCTGGCTTGGAACCCAGCATCGAATAGAGAGGGTCTTGAAGAGGGAGGGAAATGGGTGGGCTCAAACAGTATTATTTACGGTAGAGATAAACTTTCCTTTTGCTTTCTTGTTTCTTTTTTCCTCCACGCACTCCCTTCTTTTTAGATTGCAAAAACTTTTAAGTCAGAATCAGGGCATTTCCTTGTCTTTTAAGCTACTAAATCAAAATTTGGCAATGCCACTGTGAGTCATAGATGGCATGGATTAATTCCAGGGTAGCACAAAATGAAAAAGGTGGATTTTCATCTATTTTATATGCTTGTTGAGTTTTATTCGTTAAAATATTGTTATGAAAGTATTGAAAAGTCACTAATGTCACACTTAATGTTGAATGACCATTTGTTTTGTGGTTAAACTTAGGAACAAGACAAGGAACTTGGTCTCTCAACTTGTACCCAACCTTGTACTCAGGCAAAAGAAAGGAATTTTAATTATTTATAGACAAAGGAACTCAACTCTTTTCTATTTGTAGATGACATGAGTTAGTGTTTAGAAAACCCTAAGGTGTCAATCAAACTATCAGAGCTTATAAGGAGTTGAACAAAGTATTTTAATATGTAATCAAAATAAAAATCTTTTGTATTTTAAACACTAGCAAAAGACAATCAAAAATAAATTTGGGCATAGTAACTCAAATTTGTAATCTTAGCATTCAGAATGCTGAGTGAGGCAAGCTTGAGGTCAGCCTGGACTGTATCATGCATTCAGGCCAGCCTAGTCTAAAAAGTATAGCTCAGTCTCAACCCCAACTCCCCCCAAGGGACAATCTCATTGACCATTCATCAAGAGAGTAAGAATACTTAGGAATAACTTTTTTTCCCCAATGAGAATGGGCCGGATGTGCAGAGTGGACTTGAATATATGGATATTTGTAAAAGAAGAAATGTAGTGGAATAGGCTAGAAGTAAAACACAAGAAACACATAAAAATGAAATGAATTGGCACTAGAAGCAGTATCAAGGGAAAGTAAAGATAATTAAAGAAGGCGCTGGAAGGCTGGGAGGGTGCATTAAGCTACTTAGGAGAGGCAGCTGCTGGAGTTTATACATTAGATATCTCCTTGACTAACTGTGTGTGTGGAGGTGGTGGTGGTGGTAGAAATGTGGAGAGACAATCAGGGGATACATTGTCCTGAGTGTAAAGTGCAGGGAAGCGTAAACAGGGTGGGGGTAGACCGCAGGGAGTAAGAACAGAGCAACCTAAGGAGCTGTGAAGTAGTGGAGGAGGCCAGGAGGAGAGGGTGAATGACCCTGGGCAGAGAGCACAGGTGGATGGTGTTGCCCAGGGCATGAGGGTGTGAGGTAGAGGCCCTTCGGAGATGGTAGTGTGAGGATAACTAGGAAGCAATGATATGCTTGATGTGAGGCTTTCACCAGAGAAGACTGCTCAGATGTGGGCTTAAGCCAATAGAAGGTCTTTATTAACAGGCCAGTGACTACATTGGGTGTTCAGGATCCCAGTGTAGCACTGAGCATTTCTCAGGGCTAACTTTTAATCACAAAACCCATATTCTGGGTTGACTTGCACAATAAACATATATATATATTCATATATACATATACATACACACATACATATATGAATTTTGGAATGGTCCTCTCCTACAGTTTGATTTCCAAACTTTATACATCTTACAAATATACATACATATATATATATATATATGTATGCATGTTATATTGTGTGTGGCATCCCTCTCTCCACTAGTGTTTACACTGAAAATATTTTTATTTATGCCATGCCTTCCTGTGAATATTGCTTTCACTTTTCCCTCTTATATTGTTTATTTGGAAGATGTTTACTGGGCTTCTATATATATGGTGCTGTGCTAAGTCATGGGAAGAGAGGTGGTTCTTGCATGAGGGGTGAGCTGGAGGAGTGGCCTGGGAACGCCAGAGTAATCCAATCACAGGTTTGTGGTGGGAGAGGAGAAACAATCTAACTCTGTATCTTCCCCAGGCATTCACTTAGGTGTTTGCTCAGTTTTTCAGTTGGATCCTTTAGGCGGCTTGCCTTAGAGTGTCACAGATTTGCTATCACTTGTCATCTGTTAAGTCCTTTGTACAAAGTCTAAAAGAAAGTAACAGCCAAAATCTGGAGACTGACGAAAATGAGAATGCATAGGGAATGCCCCACGTGCTTGTTAAGGATTCCGGAAATCTTTATCTTGTCAAATGCACTTAATGCAGATCATTAATCCCACCCCTGAACTCAGTTTAGAGTTCATTTGAGAAATATTCATAGATTTTAGGGCTTGAATTTTCCCAGAGAGTTAATACTGTGTTAGTTGAAATCTCTCAGAAGAGTGAGGTTTGTTTCCATCAGAAACAAGCAGATGGGAGGGAGTGGTTCCCAGAAGTCAATGGCATCATTACTATTGTGATGAATTAGCTGCAGGCCTTAAACTCTGGAATTTTCTAGTACAGTCAAACATCCTCAATGGGAAAAATCTAGAACCTGAAACAGTCTAAAATTCAATATTTTATAAGTGCTGATATAACATGATAGTGGAAAATCCATACCAAGAAACTTTGCATCATGCACAACATTATTTATAAAATATTGTTCACAGTTAACATTCTGGCTATACACATGAAATACACAAGAAACAGTTTAATTACCTTTCCAGAACTGAGTATCATTCCCATAATATTTCATTTGTTTTTTTTTCCCTTGGAACCCATTTCTTTTTTATTATTCTTAAATTTAAATTAGTAACAAGGTTGCTTCACATGTCAATCCCAGCTCCCTCTCCCTCCCCCTCCTCCCACACACCCTCACCATATCCCCAGCCTCCCACCCTATCGCCACTTCCTTCCACATAGGGGATATCTCGAGTCTGTCATTTCACTCAGGGCAGGGTCCAGGCACTCCCCTAAGAGTCCAGGCTGAGAGAGCATCCCTCTTTGTGTTATGGACACATGATGACTGTTAGTATGCCAGGGATAAACACTGATCCACTCCCCAGGGATCCTCACTGACTCTCACATTCAGGGGGTCTGGATAAGTCCCATGCTGGCCTTCTTCCAGCTGTCAGTCTGGGGTCCAAGAGCTCTCACCTGTTCAGATCAGTTGGCTCTGCTGGTTTTGCCAGCCCATTCTTTGCCAATTTGCTCATCGCTCCTCTCTCTCTGTCACTGGGTTCCTTGGGTTCAGTTCAGTGTTTAACTGTGGGTGTTTGCCTCTGCTTCCATCAGTTGCTGGATGAAGGCTCCTGGATGGTTATAGACATCAAGTTCATTATCAAGAATGGGCATTCCAGGTGGTCTCTCCACTACTGCTTAGCTTGCCAGTTGGTGTCATCCCTTTATATCACTAGAGATCACACTAGTTCCTGATCTGTCTTCTAACCTATGATTCCTTCTTCCCCCTATTCTACACCCCACTCAACCTTCCTGTTCCCCCATGACCTACTCTCTCTTCCTCTTCTCCCCCTTTCTTCTTCCCTGTTCTCACTTCCCCCAACCCCTCGCCGTGTTTCCCATCTGTTCAGAAGATCTTGCCTCATTTCCCTTTTCTGGGGTACCATGCATATCTCTTAGGTTCTTTCCTGTTTCCCAGACTCTCTGTCAGTGGAAGTGCAGACTGGCACTATCCTGATCCATTTCTAAAATCCATATATGAGTGAGTACATGCCATGTTTGTCTTTTTGTGACTGGTTGTGACTAGGTTACCTCACTCAGGATGGTTTCTTCTAGTGCCATCCATTTACCTACAAATTTCAGGATTCCATTATTTTTTTCTGCTGAGTAATTTCTCTATCCACTCTTCATTTGAGGGGCATCTAGGTTGCTTCCAGGTTCTGGCTATTACAAATAATGCTGCTATGAACATAGTGGAGCAGATGTTCTTGTTGTATGAATTTGTCACTTTTGGATATATGCCTAAGAGTGGAATTGCTGGGTCTAGTGGTAGATTAATTCCCATTTTCCTGAGGAATCTCCATACTGATTTCCAAAGTGGCTGTACAAGTTGGCATTCCCAACAGCAGTGGAGGAGTGTTCCCCTCTCTCCACATCCTTTCCAGCATAAATTTTCTTTGGTGTTTTTGATTTTAGCCATTCTGACAGGAGTGAGATGGTATCTCAGAGTTGTTTTGATTTGCATTTCCCTGATGGCTAAGGATGTTGAGCACTTTCTTAAGTGTCTCTTGGCCATTTTAGCCTCCTCTATTGAGAATTCTGTATTTAGTTTTGTACCACAACTTTTAATTGGATCCTTTGGTGTTTTGGAGACTTGCTTCTTGAGATCTTTGCAAATTTTGGAGATTAGCCCTCCAATTAGTGAATATCTTTTCCCATTCTGTGGACTGCCTTTTTGTCTTGTTGACTGTGTCCTTTGTCTTACAGAAGCTTTTTAGTTTCAGGAGGCCCCATTTGTTAATTGTCGATCTCAGTGTCTGTGCCACTGGTGTTATGTTCAGGAAGTGGTCTCTTGTACCAACTCATTGAAGAGTATCTCCCACTTTCTCTTCTAAGAGTTTCAGTGTGGCTGGATTTATGTTGAGATCTTTGATCCATTTGTATAAAGAGAAGCCTTTCCTTGCTAGCCGCTTTGGTTTATCACCCGCCAATCGCCTGGGCTCTGCCGCGTTGTAGTCCCCAAATAACACACAAGACGCTGTATTAATTATGAAGCTGTTGGCCTTGCTTGTTTCTTACTGGCTAGCTCTGACTTAAGTATTTATCCCATAATTGCTAATCTAAGTATTTCTCTTAAGACACTTAAGAATGTGCTCAAAATCCTTAACCATCAAGGAAATGCAAATCGAAACAACTCTGA